CATTGATTTATAAAAATGAAAATGAAAGTTCCATAATATATTATTATTTTTTTTTGTAATTAAATGACTACTTTTCTTATATAATTAATATAAATTATTCAAATTATTTTATATAATATTTTATGTTGATATTAAAATACAAAATCTATGAAAATCTGAGTATTGGTAAATTCTATTATGCTTGAAAATGATTAACATAATGAATAGAGCCTATGGTGTGAGAAATGCCTATAAACAAAGATAGATGTCTTAAACGTAATTTCAATTTATGAAGCAGAGTCAAGAATAGAAAAATAATAAAATAGACATTGCTTGAATTACATTTCTATCTCAAATAAAAACTAAAGTATATTGATGAATTTTTAATGATCATAAAAATATAATTTTAAATATTAGAATAATCTATAAAAGATACTGAAAAAAGAATAAATTTATGGAAGGATCAATTAATAAAAGTTAGAGATGACCAGTGTACATATAGCTTAATACAAGAACATTCCAATTTAGATAAGGAAGAAAATTAATGGGGGCAAGAAAAATAATTGATTTCTCAAAATTAAATAAATGTTATTGATTAACTTCATAGTATTACTAATTGTTGATGAAATCTAACTCTAAATTTAGAACATTGTAAAATCACACGAGCAACTTTATACTAATATCTAAATCCCTTTATCTAATCAACTAATACAAGTTAGAATAAATGCAACTTTAAAAAGAAAATCTATCATAAAACGAAGGATTTTACAACAAACTCTTTAACAAATTAGTTTAAGAGATAAGATAAAATGAAATATGTTATGCTATAGGATTAATAAAAATGATTCTATAATGGCCGCTGGATATAATTAATGTATAAAGATATGGAAGATAGAAAATGAAAAATTATTTGATTCATAAATTAATTTATTAGGGAAATCAGAAGTGGATTTTGCTATTTTCATAGCTTTTAGTAAAAGAAAAAATCTCTTTGTTTATGAAATTTATGATTGTAGTATAAGAATATGGTTTGAGATTGTGAATGACAAATGGAATCCATCGCCCCTTCAAATGAAATGTCTCATTCAGGAATGGCCACTTGCACTCTTTTTAATTAATCTGAAGATTAAGTGATATCAGGCAGTCAGGATAATTCTATAATCATTTGGAGAATTAATGGTACTTTTATTGAATTTTATTCGTAGTTAATTAAGCATAAAAATACTATTGTTAATATATCTATGAATTAATAAGAAACTGAATTTGCTTCAATGAGCAAAGATTAATAAATAATCATATGGGGAAATATATCAAATAAATGGAAATTGAAATAAATTATTTTGTAACCTGGTATTAATTTTGGAGATAGAGTTACTTTTATATCTGATAATGTGCTAGTATTTTATTAAATTTTTGAAAGAATAACCTATGCTCGCTCTGATATTGAATTTACTAAATACCACAATAAAGTCTTGATTTAATTGATATTGTGAAAAAAAATGTATAATATCAATTCCCAACTTTATCTTTTATTCATAAAAATGTAATAGTTTAGAAATATCATGGACATGTTTATTTTGCTGTTGTTGATGGTGATTTATAACTATTTTGTTTATCTAAACTTTAAATAAATTAAAATAATACATTTTATGGTAATATAAAAAATTATGGCAGATATTTAGTTATTTGGGGTTTTACATTAATTAGAGTATAAAATTTATAAGTTAAAATATTTATGATTTTTTATGTAATTATTGTATTATTTTTACACCAAATCTAAATTTTATTTTTGAAAATTATAAACAGAGTATAAATTTATAATATAGGACCAAAATTTACAATTAATTTCAGATTAGTATTCCAATAAATTCTCTACTATTCCTCGTTACAGTTGATAATATTTGTCTAATATTAGAAAACAGAATCTTTCATCTATTCCATATGTAAAATAATAATTAGAATATCAAAAGAATAATAACACATTAATATTGCTTATTTCAAATTTATATGAGATATAGATTATAGATCAAACAATTGGAACCTACATAAATGTAATTATTAACAATAAATACTCATATCCAAGGTTATTAAGAATATCTTCATAGCCAATATAAAATTAATACCTCTCATAGATTCTCCCATGGAATTCTATTACTCACTAATTTCCTAATCAAATCCTTTCTTTCTAAGTTCGCATCCCAAGATCTTAAATAATTTTTTACTTAAAATAATTCTCGATGTAAAGAAGAAATTATGAATGAAAATATCTTTATTACTTCACATTCATATCAATTATATCTCATCTTAATACTCATAAAAAGTATGATATCTAACTTTTAGTATTCTGCATTAAATTTAATATTAGTCTTATGAAGGGAACCTAATCAATAACTTTGCTTTAGTTTGCCACTTAATTAGTAGAGAAGCTCGGCTGGAACTTGTGTTAAATGGAGACTTATCACAACTTAATAAAAGAAGTAAATCTAAGTTATCTCTAAATTAATACAATATTAAAATAAATAGAATGATCTAGGTTGAAGGATTAAATCCAAAGTATTCATCGTATCAAGGTTTCAAATGTAAGTATCAAATACTTCTTTTAAATTTCAAGAGTTTGATTCTTAATTGATAATATAAAATTTAACAGAAATAGATCATCTCAAAAGCTTAAATTATTTTCAATATCAACTATAATTTTTGTATATTATCTGTTTTGTAAGCTTTATAACAAGAATTTATAATTTGTAAAAATATACACTCTTTAAAATAAATAAAAATATTTAATAAAATGATTTGTAATCACAATTCAAAGTTCGATTTCTTGCTGATCAACCTTAATAGCTTCATTTTTTTTTTATATAACTATATTATTGCTTATCTTACTGCTGTTATCATGGGGATCAATACTAATAGTATTAGTGCATATGATAAATAATTGATATACATAAAGAATAAAGTTATCATTAATCTTGGCAATAAATTTTGAAAATATTGAAAAATCTCTATCTATTTCAATTTAATTAGGAAACAGAATAAATTAATTGCAAATTTTCCTATATTGCTCTACGAACACAAATCTCTTAATGGACTAAATTTCTTTTATTCAATCTGTTACTCATAAAGAATAAACAGATATAAGGGGAAAAAGATTATTGTTATATGTTAAACATCTGAAGTTTCAAATGTATTCTCATAACTATAATTTCCATTATTAAGAAACGTTATGTATTTTAGTTTCAATTTTTTCTGAAATTATATTTTCCTTTGTATTGAATTAAATCTCCTTAATGGAATATTTTCCTTTTGTAATGTATTAAATTTACATACATAATATTTTCTCTTTAAATGAATTCAATTACCTTATAGAATATTTTCTATCTAATAAGTTAAATTTCCATTAATAATATTTTCTTTATGTAATGTATTATATTTACTTATATGAATAAATTTACATTATTAAAATAAATTACTTGGTATTAAATAAATTTATCTTATAAAATAAATTACTTTGTATTGAATAAATATTTATTTTATAAATAATATTTTAACTTATCAAAACAATAATATA